AGAAGAATACTGAGAGAGACCACCAAGACACCTGTGACCCGTCTGAAGGAGCTTTAAGCTTCAGCAGGTGAGATGGTAGAGATGGTGCWTACTGTAACTGTTTCCCAATGTTTTAGCCAGTCATACCCAATATTTAACCAGTATTTACATTGGATGTGGTTTCACTTTGCTCTGGTCCAACCTCCGCAGTAAAAATTCAACCATTATCCATCCATAATATATATATATANATATATATGTATATATATGTATATATATATTCAACCATTATTATCAATTTCATGTCATTGTCAAATCAATTCGTATTGCTCATTAAAGCTGCAGTATGTAGTTTCTGGAAACAGATACAACCTTCAGGTCCCTCCCCCCTGCTCTCTGTTAAAGGCTGAGTCACACTACAAGATTTTAAAACAATCAGACAATTTTCAAAGACTGATAGAGCCCACACTTGAAGATAAAAAAAAATCATGGCTCTACCAGGTTTGGTCCTACAGTGTGTGGTGTACAGTCACACGGCAAGAGACAACACAACACACACGAAAAGATATTTCATTCATGAACAGTCAGATATTAAATCAAGTCTCGCGAGAATTCATATATCCGAGGAAAAATCTCACGTGACCTCTGAACTCACGTGAGTTCAGAGTAAATAAACATTTGCAACAAGGAAAAAACAATGTTGATTGTTTGTGGACTATTTTTTACCAGAGGGAAAAACAACTCCATGGGACTTTTAATATCCAGCAGACTTTCTGGTGAGTCATGAGTTTTTTTGTTTGTTTTTTTTTGTTTTTTTTTGTCTCCTGTATTTTGGAATCCCCTCCGTGTTTACGTTACCTCACTTTCTGATTGGCTACACGTCTCATTCAGGCTGCGAGCTCGGGTGAGCTTCACACATACTGTGATGTCRGGCCAAAAAATCAAACATGTTGAATATAACCGATTTGAGGTCGGAGTGGTCCCGACGTCCTTCCGAGCCGACTAGATCAYTCTTAACTCACCACCCACGGCAGGAATATCTGCTCAGGTTATCTTTAGAGTCGTCACGATAATCTGGATTTCCTTAAGATTGTCGGAAGGGCAAAAATCAGCCTGATTTTCTTGTAGTGTGGCACCGGCCTGAGCTTCAGCCCACCTTCCTAAGCTCCTCCCCCACAGCAGACCTGAGTTGGGAGCGTGCATGTTAGTAAACAGGATGAGTGTGGGCCACAGATGGGCAACAACACAGAGCTGAGTGAAACTAACAGCTATGCTGCGGTCACCGGTATAAATGAACCATCAACAATATAGTTTTAACTATCATGTCTTGCCCATACTTTATWTACAAAAGTTCTCCTCAAACCTTTATGTRTTTTGTCATAACGTTAAATGTAAATTATGTTGCACTCTTTCTGTAAGTTATAAATAGCTAGCAAGCTAACATAACACGGAAACTGCAGATTAGCATTGTGTAATGTTGATAAAGTTTATGATTTCAGCAACATGACAAGCCTGTGTATTAGTATTTTTCAGCTCTTGCTTTGCACAGTGTGACATTTTATCTTTATGTTATGCAGCCAGAGTTTTTGATGCAGTCAGTGGGCTCCAACCAGAACATCAACAGCATCTTCTTGCCCAGTCGTTCCCAATCCTGGTCCTCAAGTACCCCTATCCAACATGTTTTACTTGTTTCCCTGCTCTTCTACAAAATCGAGGGCGATGTGTGACCAAGGTCGTCCGGGAATGGGTAAGGGTTTCAGTAGGCCGGCAGGGGCTTGATGTGAAGACTTGTTGCGAGCAAAGATGGTACATGAGGCCACATACTCTTTAACATCTTTAATGAGAGTGGGCCACCAAAAATATCTTGCAGCCAGGGAGATCATACGGTTTGAACCAGGGTGACAAGAGAACTGATTATTATGCAACCATTCCAATACTTTACTTTTARTGGCYGTRGGGAYGAARAGACRGTCAGGAGGGCCTYCACCAGGRTCYGGTTCAGTYTTTTGGGCCTCTTGAACCAGTTGTTGTATGGGCCAGGTGAGAGCTCCTACAAAACAGGTGGACGGTAGGATGTTGTCCTCCTTAGGGGTCTGACCATCTGTGGAAAACTGTCGAGAGAGTGCATCAGGTTTTATATTACGAGAGCCAGGTCGGTAGGTCATAGTAAAGTTGAATCTAGTGAAAAACGACCATCGTGCTTGGCAAGGCTTTAATCTCTTAGCTGTCTGTAAATAAGCCAGATTTTTGTGGTCAGTCCAGATAATGAATGGTAACTTAGTTCCCTCTAAGCAGTGTTGCCATTCTTCGAGTGCAAGTTTGATTGCCAACAGTTCCCGATTTCCCACATCATAGTTGCTTTCTGAAGGAGAAAGTCTACGGGAAAAGTAAGCGCAGGGGTGCATCTTCTTGTCAGACAGAGATCTTTGTGATAATACTGCTCCGACACCTGTGTCAGAGGCATTGACCTCCACAATGAACTGTTCAGTTGGAACTGGGTGATGTAMTATGGGAGCAGAAATAAATCTTTTCTTTAACTCACCAAATGCAGATTTAGCTTGTGCGTTCCACTCAAAGGTCTTAAGAGTTGAGGTGAATTGGGTTAATGGTGCGGCTACACGACTGTAGTCTTGGATGAAGCGTCGATAAAAGTTGGCAAAGCCTAGGAAGCGCTGGAGTTGACGTCGATCTGTAGGGGTGGGCCACTCTGCCACTGCCTTGACTTTGTGAGGGTCTGTCTGAAAATAGCCTTGTCCAAAAATGAAACCTAAAAATGATACTGAAGAAACATGAAACTCACATTTCTCGGCCTTTACAAAGAGTTGGTTCTCATGGAGTCTTTGGAGTACAGCTCGAACATGTTGAATGTGTTGGGTCGAGTCCTTGGAGTAGATGAGAATGTCATCCAGGTAGACAAAGGCGAAAATGTTCAGAAAATCACGTAGCACGTCATTAATGAGGGAGTGGAAGATTGCTGGGGCACTGGTGAGCCCAAAAGGCATCACCAGATATTCAAAATGTCCCAAAGGTGTCTTAAAAGCAGTCTTCCACTCGTCCCCCTCCTTAATTCTTACCAAATGATATGCATTATGTAAATCCAGTTTTGAAAAAATGGAGGCTGAGTGGGGTTGTTGATGAACTGAATCAATTAGCGGCAAAGGATACTTATTTTAACAGTGATTTGATTTAACCCCCGATAGTCAATGCAAGGTCTCAGGCTTTTGTCTTTTTTCTCTACAAAAAAGAAACCAGCACCTAAGGGGGAGGTGGAAGGATGAATGATACCAGATGCTAAGGAYTCTTCAATGTAATTTTTCATGGACTCAGTTTCAGGTGCAGAGATGTTGTAGAGGCGACTACGTGGAAGAGGGGCACCAGATAACTCTATGGAACAGTCATTGGGCCTGTGGGGAGGCAGAGACAAAGCCTGAGTTTTGCTAAAAACATGAGCCAAATCATGGTATTCTTTTGGTACAGAAGAGAGGTCAATGTCTTCAGTGGGTTGAGACTTAGTAATGGGTGAGACAGCAGAGGTTAAGCAGTTATTTAAACAATAACTACTCCACTTATCTACACTCTTTTGTGACCAGCTTAACACGGGGTTATGTTTTGTAAGCCAAGGATAACCTAAAATCAGTTGTGGTGTGGGTGAGGAAAATACATAAAACTCACCAAACTCTCRATGATTACCGGAGCTGAGCACCTGCACATTTACTGCCTTTTGAGAAATCTTGGTTATGTTGTCACTAGTAATCCCTGCGACCGGGATAGGAGGATTGAGATTCTCCACAGGTAACTCCAAAAAATCCACAAGATCAGATGAGATCAAATTTTGTTCAGCTCCTGAGTCTATTAATGCATGAATGGGAACCTTCTTCTGCTGGTGAATGAGTGTGGAATGTAATGTTAGTCGGGAGCAGGGGGAAGTTCGACAAGACCCACCAGGATCCCCCTACTCACTGGTGCATCTTGGCTTTTAACAGCAAGGAGCATTGGGCTACGAATTGTCCCTTCGTTCCGCAGTAAAAACATTCCTTGGAGTCCAAACGTTTCTGTCTCTCTTCTTGGGACAAATGGGCTCGTCCGAGCTGCATGGGTTCTGGTTCTGTATCAGACTCAGCGTKACTCAGAAGATGACGAGGCGGAAGTTGAGCGGAAAGTGGCAGCCAAGGGTCGATGGGAACTGTAGTCTCGGTCCTTCCTGCGTTCCCGCAGACGATTGTCAATCCGGATCGCCATAATGACAGCCTCACCCAAGGTCTTAGGTTCCTCTCGTGTGGCAAGTTGGTCCTTTAAAACATCAGATAGTGAATTAACAAAAATACCCTTTAGTGCCTGATCATCCCACCTCCTCGGCAGCAATCCGGAAGTCGACGGAGTGATCGGCAACGGACCTTTTCCCTTGACGTAAGGCTAGAATCTTTTTGGCTGCTGCCTCCTGTTGGAGCGGATTGTCAAACACAACTTTAAACTCACGGAGAAAACATTGAAAWGTCAAAGTTTCAGTAGAGTGGGACCRAAGGAAAGCRTGAGCCCATTTTAATGCTTTTCCTTTCAGATTGTTGATGATATAAGTTATTTTYGACATATGATCAGGAAAAAAGGACGGAGAACGGGAGAAAGCCAGCTGACATTGTAATAGGAAACCACTGCAGCGGTCTAAGTCCCCTTCAAACAATTCAGCTGGTCTGAGATCAGGTTCTCTTTGAGAATGTTGTACCTGAGGTGGAGCAGCAACAGGCGCTGACGGGGCAGGTGGAGGTGGGACAGAATGGAGTTTAGAATCCATAACAGCCATTTGATTACTTATTCTTTCAAGCATGTTGTCCGAAAGCTGTTGTTGCTGTAGTAACTTTTGGAGACAAGCTTCATGATTATCAATACGTTGAAATTGTTTTTCTATAGCAGTTTGTAATGGTTTGGCTTCAGCCCCGCTTGTTGAAACAGTTGGCTGATGCATACTGACTAGGATGGGATATTCAACAAAGCAGCAGAGCCAAATGACCAGACCAAGACAACAATTAAAAAGGTAAGTGCAGTTTTATTTACAGGTGGAGTTTGTTTTTGGACATCAGCTGAAAAGGAGGAGAACATAGAAGGTGAGTATTGGTTCTTGGAAGAGTAATTTGCTGTAGATATTCTCTTGTTAATAAGTGATTCTTTCTTACAGATTTTCCAGAGGCGAGGAGTTGCAAAGGAGGAGGTTTTCAAAGGCAGGTGGCAATTCTTCAGGCAGAGTGGCTGTGAGTGCTCCGTGGTGAGGTTCTTTGTTTTCTGACCCAACTTGGAGTGAAGACTTCTTAGCATGAGGTGTGGCTTCTGTTATCTTGGTAATCCACCTTGGACAAAGGATGAATGAGGTAAGTACAAAAATATTCTTTAACAAAGAATCTAGGAGCTAGATACTACCATAAAGGTTAGATGCATCAGCGTGGATCAACTGGTAGATGAGGCTTATAAAGCTGCAGCTGATCATTAGACAGGTGTGTGTAATCAGGGTCAGATCACCAATCACCACACAGGAACACAGGTAGAACTGAATCTTCACAGATTTAATGGTAGATTAGAAAGATAATATGCTATTTTAGTAGCTGGAGTGGCCAGTTAATGTCTATGAATGCAAATCTCTATATATGGCAGAAAATTATTTCAGTTTTGGGAGTACAGGTCACATGTGTACCTTTTGAAATAAACATATATTTAAACATGTATAAAATTGCAAAGCACATTGTTTTTGGTTTATTTTAATCGTCACTTTTTTACTGCAAGTTGATTACTAGACAGAATCTGAAAAAATTAGTGACAGGAAAATTAATTTTATGGATAGTTCCCTGTGGGACAACAGTAGTGCAGTGTAATTACTCAGTAAGCCATTTGCAAATGCTGCTGTGGTAGATGTCCCACTTTCTGACTGCACATTGGTGAACTAATGACTGGTTTATTATGGCTGGTCTGTCGCTCTCATCCCAAGAGGAATTATTAAATTAATATGGAAAATTCACAAAGAAATGTGGAAAAAAGCATTAATTACAGGGAAGGAATACACAATGATGCTGAGAAATGATAGAAACATATATAAAGTTTTCACCTTTTAAAACTTTAGAAAATCTGTTTGTACACTTACCTTGCTTACTTTATTAGAGTTTTACAGTTTGCTAGCACCATGTCAGAGCCCTTTTACCTCCAGAAATGCTTTAACTATTCAGGGTATAGATTCAACAAGATGTTGGGAATATTCCTTAGATATTCTGGTCCATACTGACACATTAGCATCCCACAGTTGCTGCAGATTTGTCAGCTGCTGATGTAAATTTTCCTTTCCATCACATCCCAGAGGTGTTTGATTGAATTAGGATTTGACGGCTGTAGAGACTGTTGGAGTCCAATAAAACCTGACATGACAGGACAGATTTTTTTTCTTATTGTCTTGAAAAACATAGTGTGTTCATTTATTCTGATATGTGTTGAGGACAAGGAAGAAAATACAKTATTTAGACTTGAATATTCCTTGTAAGAAGTAAAGTCATACAAATACCAGCACTGGGACCATTCATAGACTTTATTCTGCAGAATGGCCACAAACCAAAACATCCTGTCATCCATAAACATTTTCTTCTGGATCTGGACACTCCCCTTGGGTAATCTGTCACATCTATGGGTGTTCTCCTTACCATGTGATCAGAAACCCTTAGACAAACCAGCTGAATGAAATGTGCTGTGTTGAGTGTCATTTGAGGTGTGTGTTAACTAAACATTAACACAATTTTAACATTAACACCAAATTTCCCTCTGGGATCAATAAAGTATTTTTGAATTGAATTGAATTGTAAAAAATAAGTAATCACTCAAAATTGATTATAGAAACATTTCACAATCACCTGGAAAAACAAACCCTTATGTGWAGTGCTTTTTTAAAACATCACTGACTAACATAATTCAAATAAATTTCTTCAATTCCCCCTTTTTTACATGATAACTAATCATGTGAACTATAAGGAAATTTATAATCAATACCCTATATAAGGGCTATTCAACTAAATTGCTGTGGTGGCCCCAGTTACTGCAGGCCAACAGCTCAGGGGCT